GGGGGGGGGGGGGGGCGTCATGGCGGGAGCCGGCCCGCAAACCGCAGCAGCGGGGACCTCCAGGCCCTCTAGGAGGCGGCAGCAGCAGCAGCAGCAGCAGCAGCAGCAGCGGTTGCTCGCCACTGCCCTGGAAGCACCCGTGCGCCTCCCGAGCCACCCCTTGAGGCAGCGCCCCTGTCGAGGGCTGAGGCAGGTGAGTAGTACTCAGGTTGCTCACTGATCGCGAACTCGAGCGCCTTGAAGCGGCGCGCGACCTCCGGGCAGCAGCCCTTGGGGGACGCGTAGCAGCCGATGGCCACGAACTGGAAGCAGCTGGCGACGCCGTCGGACGTGTTCTTGGTGGAGGAGGCGTGCATGATGAAGGGGCTGGACCTGCAGTCCTCCTCAAAGCACTTGCGCGGGGCCGGCCGCGGGTCATCGCCGCCGCGGCCCTTGCCGCCGCCGTGCTTGGCGGCGTCGTGGTGTTGATGGGCGATGGCGGCGGGGCCGGGGGCTGCGTCAGCAGGAGCGGCGCGAGCGCCCTCGCCAAGGCCGTGGGCGGTGGCGCCCCGATACCATGCGTGCGAATGGGCGACGCAAAATAGGGCTGCAAAAGCGGCCAGCAACAGGGCCGTCCGCGTGGGAGGACCCATATTGCTGGAGACCCAGTCAGCAGATCACACGAGATCTGGAGCTGTGATCAAGCACCGCAAAAGCAGAGACAATGTCAAATGGTACATGATAAATCGCCAGATTATGTTGACCTTTGTAGAAGTGGGCTGAAAGGGCTGAAAGCCCGTGTCACCACAAGGGACACCGCATGAACAATCTGCCAGCGGCCTTACAATATACCGTAGTATACCGCAGATGAGATTGAAGTTCTTTCTCATATCAAATATGCGTTCGTTTGAGTTGCTGAGGGCTTTTGCCCAGAATGCCTTGCGCGCCCCATCTAGGGGCCTGCCAGCCTTGTGGCCGTGTGCGTCTGCTTGTAACAGCAACGGAGTCAATGGTATCAGCAGCGCAAGCCACGCTGAGCATGGCCGCAACGAAAGCGGTGACAGCAGCGCGCCCCTTGCAGCCGCTGCTCGCGCTGCCGCGCAAGTATTGTCCAGCCAAACGCGGCCGCGCCAGCAGCAAGAGCAGCAGCAGCGCGCAGGAGGGGCGTCTGTGTTGCACGACATCGACTTGGACCAGCTCCTGGCGCGGCACGGGCATCTAGCTGCCGAGGTGCAGGTGCGCAGGCGGCTCTCAGGACGCGGCGCACCCGCTGCTGCAAGGCCGGTGTTGTTGCAACAGGCTGCTCATCCTTAACATAAACTGACATGAGCGATGATGCGCATGGACCTTGCTTAGGACCTGCAGCAAACAGCACCAGCACCATGGGGCTTGCCACCGCCTGTGCTTTTCTCCACCAATGGCCACCCCTACCCTCCCGCCAGGCTGCGATGCGTGAACAGCAACAGCAGCAGGGGCGTCCGCCCGTCTCCTTCGCGCCAGACGGCACACCTCAGCAGCAGCAGCAGCAGCAGCAGCAGCAGCAGCAGCAGCAGCAGCAGGGGTCGGATCCTGACCTGCTACTGGACATGGATGACGAGCTGACTAGGCGACTCCAGGCAATCGGCGCCAGCGGCAGCGGCGCCGGCAGCGCCAGCAGCACCTTGGGCGACGTCAGGGCTCCCCTTGACGCGGTGCACACAAGCAGCAGCAGCACCACCCCCACCACCACAAGCAGCAGCAGCAGCAGCAGCAGCAGCAGCAGCAGCAGCAGCAGCAGCACATCAGGCATCAGGCCAGCCGCCGACGATGCTGCGGCGGCGACGGGGGCGTCTGGCAGTGGCGAGGGCCTCGTCTTTGAGCCGCTGATGTGGCCCAGGGACCGCAGGGGCGCAGTGGCCTTGGCTGCTGCCGCCGCCGACGAGGCCGCGAGCTTCGAGCAGGCGCAGCGGTGGCGGCGGACGCGTTTCGGCGCCGAGCTCGACCCCTGGGCGCCGCTGCCGTCGGAAACTTTGATCAGGTGCGGCCCGCGCTGCGCCCTGGAAGCGGGACCATGCTGCGTGCATCGTGTTGGCCATCGTGGTGCTGGCGTGGCGCACGTGGTATTGCAACCACTTAGTCGCGCAGGGGTGCGTTTGAGGCTGCCCTGGCCAACAGGGCGTGCCGTTGCCGCCCCATCACGGGGACCAGCTGCAGCAGCAACCCAGCGGTGCCCGGTCCCCCTCCCGCCACCCTGCCGCCCGCGCGCAGGGCGCGCCTGCCAGCCGCCGTCTCGAGCCTCATACAAGACACGCTCGAGAGGCGGCGCGCGCGCGCCGAGGCGCGGCGCGGCTCGGGCGGCCCGGGTGCAGGCGCGGGCGGCGCGGCCGGCCTCGACCCCGCGCTCGCGTTCGACGTCTTGCGGCAGCTTCCGCTGGAGCAGCTGCAGCTTCTCCTCGACGACTCGGGGCTGCCGACCTTTGGCTCCAAGGACGTGCTGCTGCACAGGATTGCTAACGAGCTCGCGGGGACCATGCCAGGGCAGCGCGACGAGAACGGTGGGGGCGCAGGCCGGACGCCGCGGCTGCTGCCGCCGCGCGGCTGCGACGGCGAGGAGGAGGTGGGGGAACAAGAGGGGGAGGAGGGCAGAAATACGGCGG